AGGGTTTTGGGTTTTAGGGTTAGGGTTTAGGGTTTAGGGTCTTGCGTTTTGGGTTTTTAGGGTTTGGGTTTAGGGTTTAGGGTCTAGGGCTTTGGGTTTTTAGGGTTTGGGTTTAGGGTTTAGGGTCCAGGGCTTTGGGTTTTCAGGGTTAGGATTTAGAGTTTAGGTTGAGGGCTTAAGATTTAGGATTTAGGAGGAGTTCAGGGTTCTGGGGGGCTGTAGAGAGCTCGGGATTACGGCTTTAGGATTTACGGAGCTCTTGCTGGAGGGTTACCGTCTTGGCATGGCTTTGCATCTTAAGGGTCTGGGTTTCTTGAAAAGGCTTTGGGTACTTTGGGTCTGCAAGAATTTTAGCTGAACCCCCAAAATTCCAGCCGCATCCCAACCCCAAACCCTGAACATGCCAACCCCAAACACCAGACCCTATTAAGCCTTCATATGCAGATCCCAAACACCAAACCCTATTAAGTCTTCATATGCAGATCCCAAACACCAAGCCCTGAAAGGCTGAATCCTATTCAGCCTTAAACATGCAAACCCCCAAAGACCAAACCCCCACCCGAACCATGCCCAGGCGCGTCGTCAGCACGTGCGGCCGATTGCCGCCTAAAGCACGATGTCGGCTGGACTGCACCGAGATAGCCTGGGTGTGGGCACAGAGTTGAAGTGCAGAGTGCAGGGTTCAGGGTCTCCGGTCAGAAAACCCAAACCCGACATCCTAGCCCTTATCGGTCTAAGGATTTTAAGTTTAGGATTCAAGAGCTCGATGGCTTTCGGTTCAGCACGGATGATACTTGGAGGTTCATGGGTAGTTATAAGTGGGGTTATAAGTAGGGTAACTATAGTTACAACTCATATTGGGGGGACGTATAACCCCACTTATAACTACCCATGAACCTCCAAGTACTTTCGGCTTTAGGGGCTCACTTTATGCTGACACGACGCTGGCGTTGACAGTCTGCTGTCGGCAGGAGATGGCCCAGCTGAGGGATTGAATGGGAACGTTTTTCGTTCATACACCTGGGCAAGGCACAGCACAAATCAAAACACTCATCTTCCTCGAAGCCCAAACCCCCGAAACCCTGAAGCCTAAAAACCCCAAACCCTATAAACCCTATAAAGCTTATAGACCCTAAAACCCTGGAGCCCTAAAGCCCTTAACCCCTTAAAACCCTAAACCCTGAAGCCTCAACCGGCAACCCGGCAGAAACCAGCATTGCAAGACGGCGGCCTAAACCCTAAACCCTAAACCCTAAACCCTAAACCCTAAACCCCTAAACCAGACGGCGAGATTAGCACTTTGGCCCGGCCCTGCCTCAGGCAGATGTTCTGGGTTAACCTGGCAGGCTGAGAGCTTGGGTTTAGGGTTTAGGGTTTAGGGTTTAGGGTTTAGGGTTTAGGGTTTAGGGTTTAGGGTTGAGCCCTAAAGCCTAAAACCCTACTTGGAGGTTCATGGGTAGTTACAAGTAAGGTAACTATAGTTATAACCCATATTAGGGGGCTTATAACCCACTTATAACTACCCACGAACCCCCAAGTACAGCTTCAACCTCAACCGTAAAATCCTACACCCTTAGTCCTAAAATCCTGAAAAAACTTACACCGTCCAGATGCTTCATCACTACTACCGTTATCATGATTATCAGCAACCTGATTGTGATTATTGCAACAAGACCCATAAACCCTACAACCCCCGTAGCCCCAAAACAAAAACCTCTGTGAGCCCAATTCAAGCAAACCTATGCGGCCGCGCCTTGTCCATGTCTAAGCGACGGAGTTGACTTCCTCCAAAGCGGCTGGGCTTGGGGCTCTCGGCGTAGCGTATAAAAGTGTGGAGCTACTCCAACCACCCGTTTAGGGCTTCGCGGGCTTGAGGGCTCAGAGTTGCTGGGTGCTTTGTTGTTCGGGGTTTCGGGAGCTTGCGGGCTTCATGGGTCTTGCGGAAGCTTTTAGGATTTAGGACTTTAGGCGCTGTGTTTGGGCTTGCGGGTTGAGGCTCTGTCGGGGTGAAAACTTAGGATTCTAGGGCTCGAGGCACTGCATGGAAGAACTTTGGTCACAGACCGCACCTTGTCCCACACCCGTCGGCACAGCACAGTCGTCACTATCTTGAGCCAGCCAGACGCAGAACGTGTACATACATAAATGCACCTTGCATACAAACAGACGCACATGCATACAGACATACGGACATAGAGGCCTACAGACATAGAGACATACATACATACATGCATACATACATACATACATACATACATACATACATACACACATACATACAAATATACATACATACAGAAGTACATTCATTCATTCATTCATTCATTCATTCATACATACATACGCACATATGTACTTATGTGCATACGTACATACGTACATGTGTACATACGTACATACGTACATACATACATACATACATACATACATGCATGCATGCATGCATGCATACATACGTACTTATATATACACCGGTATCTCGAAATACTGCATAATCCACCTGCGCTTGTCTGCAAAAACCTCTTTGAAATACAACCAACAGCAAACCCGCTAGACAGAGGACATCTTCAAAAACAAGAACCTGTAGGACGTGTGCCAGGGTCGCTGATGCCCGGAGCTTCAAGGCTTCGGGTTCAAGCTGTAGGGTTTGGAGCCGCAAGACTCTTCGCAGGCAGGGTTCCACGATCCGCGTCCCTGCTGCCTGTAGTACACTGAAGAAGCAGTTTACATAAGTTCACCAGCCCTCCGGGAAACCCTCAACCCGGTATCCTGATGCCGAGCTCCTAACCTTAGGAAGCCTGAACCCTAAACTCAAATTGCAGCTTTCACCTTTTTCTCCGCCCACTGCTGCACGAAACACGGCTTCCAGCCGCTGCGGCCTCGGCTCTGTACCAACACGTCTCGACTGGTCGACATCGGGGATTAGTCTAGGATTCTGTAACCACCCGTATATTCTACTTCCTCAGAGAAGCTTAGCAAGAAAGATGTCGCAAATCGTTGCTGATTGAAGCCCTTAAATGGCCAAGACTTACGGGCGCTCCACGGACTATGCCTGCACCTCTTAAGGCTGGATGTCCCGTCATGATTTCGTTCTTCGGGGGTTTGAAGACCCGAAACCCTAAACCCTAGACTCGGGCTCGAGGCAGCAGGCTTGAAGTTGTTGAGGTATGAAGGGGCTTCGGTTTAGGGTTTAGGGTTTAGGGTTTAGGGATGAAGGGGCTTCGGTTTGTAGGGCTTGGGCTTCGGGGATAGCGGTTCAAACGGCTCTACTCGCCTCCCAGCTATGCCAGAGCACACATTCATCGGAAGCTTACTCCAATGCTTGCAAGAAGAAGTACAGACAATGCCGGCTAAATGCAATCTGCAAACCTACACCCCACAGATGATGGAAAAACGCAGGGCGGGAGATTTCTTCTGTACCTGATGACGATATAACCCCCAGAGGAAGAAACTGCGGCGTCAAGTATAACAAAACCCCGATCAGGAGGACTCGAATCCGAAATCCCTAAACTCGACGGCTCTCATTGAGGTGCAGGAGGCTCGTTCACCCATGCGGGCGCTGGCCGCTGCGACATGACTGGCGCCTCGCTGCGCACAAGGTGTGCTAGAGTGGTTTGGGTTTAGGGTTTAGGGTTTAGGGTTTAGGGTTTAGGGTTTAGGGTTTAGGGTTTAGGGTTTAGGGTTTAGGGTTTAGGGTTTAGGGTTTGGGATCGGAGCCTGGGACGGCTCTGGGGTTTGAGGGTTCGGGCTGGTGGTCTGGAGCTATTGGGGTTTAGGGTCTAGGGCTCAGGGTTTAGAGCTTAGAGGGTTTAGGGTTTAGGGTTTAGAGGGGTTTAGGGTTCAGGGTTTAGAACTTAAAGGGTTTAGGGTTTAGGGTTTAGGGTTTGGCGGGTTTTGGGCTTAGGGTCTGGGTACTGGGCCTTGGAGGCAGAGGAAAGCACGCCCGTCATTCGTGTTGCGAAGGTCTTCAAAAAGTGGGTCTCAAAAAGCCCAGAAATAAGGATTCCTGAAATCATGACATTTAAGGCCCCTGTAATTTAAGGAAGTTCCCTAAACCCCTTCTAGAAGCCCTTAGACTCCTTTTAAGGAACCCTCAACCCTAATAACCCGCAACCCTTATACTCCCTTAAACCCCCTAAACCCTAAACCCTGAACCCTAAACCCTAAACCCTAAACCCTAAACCCTAAACCTTAGACCCCTAAACCCAGGCCTTGGCAGCGTTGGCGGCCAGCAGCACAGCCACGCTCTCGGGGCCTCGGATTGCTGAGCGGAAGCGGCTTAGATCTTAGTTTTTAATGTAAGAGAACTGGCCTTAATAATTAGAATAGAGTTTAGGGTTTAGGGGCCTTACCAATTAGAATAGGGTTCAGGGTTTAGGGGCCTTCAGAATTAGAATTAGGTTTTGGGGTATACCATACTATAGTTACAAGAAGGAGCCGCGAAAATAGTATTGATAACTTTTAGGCCCTAAGCCCTAAACCCTAAGCCCTGAGAGTAGGCTTCTGGTTTTAGGTTGTGGGGCCTGGAGTCGGCACTATGGGGTCCAGGAAGTGGTGGCAAAGGCTGGGGTTGAGGGGTTTAGGGTTTAGGGATTTGGGGGTTTAGGGTTTAGGGTGTAGGGGTTTAGGGGTTTGGGGCTTTAAGACTTTAGGGGTTTAGGGCCTTAAGGGGTTTAGGNNGGGTTTAGGGTTTAGGGTTCGAGTTGGGAGGTTGAGGATCTGGAAGAGATGCGCAATGTTCGAGATCAAGAAATGGCTCCAGGTTGGCTTGGAAAAATCCTCGCCAGGGGGGGGGGGGGGGGGGG